TTTCTCTCTGTCTACCAGATGCCCTCTGCTTTTTCCACCTGCTCCAGTCACCTGACTCTCTCATCCACATGCTCTCTTGTTCCCACTTGCCCTTATCTGCACTGTCAAACATATGGACTGCTGTTATCAGGTCAGAGGGGTACTCTTTGTCCCAACAAAGTCAGGTTAAATCAGGCCATACAACACCACCATGATTCGGATGTTTTGTGTTTCCTATTATTTTGCTGCCCTTCAAGTACAACAACATACTTTTTGTTGGTGGTTAAACCATTTTCCGCCATGTTTTTATGTCTAACTGACTGATGTGAACAACAATTTTTCAAACTATTTTCTGAAACTGATTCAGTAGTGAGAGACAGGGCTGCAGCCAGTAGCTGCACAACGTCCATAACATAACCAGAAGGGCCGTTGTGCACTGTCACTGTACACCCAGTGGTTATTTTTGCCTCATAAAGGCTCATATTATTATAGTAAGTGTCTAAAGTGTTTCTCTACCTTTTGCTTGTTCCATTCTGTTAGTTATTGTGTCAAGTCTCACTCAAGGACAAGTCTCATTCTGAAATCTTGTGACAAGGAACGAGGGACCAAGGTGAACGGAGAAAGTCGCTTATGTANGGAGTCTGATCAGACTAATTGCCATAAACATATAAATACTGCGGTATTTATATGGCCCTTAAAGTGTAATTTGGGGGGTTATTTACCATGTATCTCCTCATGGTGTGATTTTGTCTTATGAATCAGTCTGTATGAAATTCTTACCGGTTCCAACTGGTACTTAAATGTAGGTACAGCAGAACAAGGGAGTTAGAATTTGGAATTTTAGAAGAAGGAAGAAATGCTTACTGTGAAGTGTTTTTTTTTTAAGTGCTGGATACCTATTAGGTACAGTGCTGGATGAAGATGAGTCAAAGGCAGCACAAACACCACCTGATTTGTCTCCTTTGAGGTGCATGGAATTAAATTTCAAAACAGCAAAATCCAAAAAACATTTATCACCCCTGCTGTAATTTATAATATGTGGATGTTTTGGCCACATTGACTTTTCTCAAGACATAATCAAACATCACAAACAGACACAGTGTTAAATACAGTTGGAGGTGTGTCCATGATCACACAAAAACTACAACTCAAGATTACTACTCCTTACTATTTATTGCATGCTCCTCCTGTACCTACAGTACCACCTGGGTGCTGCTCACATTTATCACTGTTCCTCCACAATGCATCTAAAAAAATGAAACAATTGTCATGTACATTATTATTGATAATATTAGGCCCTGGAATCAAGGGAAATAAATTAAACACAAAAGTGGTTGTTACAATTATGGAGTGTGCCACGAGAACAAGGACAGAAATAAATACAGATAAAGAGAGAAGTAAAAACAGTAAGAGGTATATTAAACTAAAATAGAAGTGAAAACTGAAACTATACAATGGCAATTAAAGACAAGATTAAAAGACACAATTCTGCAAACAGTGACCAACAAGCCCCTGCACTTTTGCATGGGGAGCAGAGTAAGTCCTATCAAATGCTGTCACAGCTCAGGTTTCTTAACTTATGTTTTTCATTCATTCATTCTAACCGCTTCATCCTCTTGAGGGTCGCGGGGGGGCTGGAGCCTATCCCAGCTGACATCGGGCGAGAGGCATGGTACACCCGGGACAGGTCGCCAGACTATCGCAGGGCTGACACATAGAGACAAACAACCATTCACGCTCACATTCACACCTACAGACAATTTAGAGTTATCAATTAACCTAGTCCCCAATCTGCACGTCTTTGGACTGTGGGAGGAAGCCGGAGTGCCCGGAGAGAACCCACGCTGACACGGGGAGAACATGCAAACTCCGCACAGAACCACCACACCACCGTGCTGCCCAACTTATGTTTTTGACTTCATTTATTCATGTTGTTTCCTGATTTACTTTGAAACTCACATCTCCTCTCGTTTCAGATCACTTCACTTCACTTGATGACTTCACCTGTGTCTGATTGTCTGTTCCGCCCTGATAAGCCTCACCTGTATCTCGTTATCCTTCCCCTCACCAGAGTACTGAGTGTGCGTCTTGTTTTCTATCAGTGGCTACGGTTACATGATGGCTTCTCATTCGGAATGAAATAAATCTGAATGAAATCATTCGGAATTAAAGTTTTTCCAGGTAGTTTACATGGGAAATATTCATTCCAAATGAGGGTTTACATGGGAGATCAGTTTAATCGCCTTTATTGAGGTCTGCACAAGGTTTGGGGCAGGGAAGGTTTCTGATTGGAAAGGGGGTGGGGCGGATGTTACGTGTTTACGTTTACCGGAAGAAAACACTGTAGTCTTTGCTCCAGATAACAAGATGCTTGATGACGCCGTTCTTAGTGCCTTTTTCGGGCATGTTTTGCTTATATTCTTGAAACAGCAGTACGACAACAACCTTGTTCTGCTAATGCTTCATCTGTTGAGGAGGAGAAGGGAGGTAGAAGACCGTGCTGTGGCGAATGGAAACCGGTGAGTGCAACGAGTCCGACTGCTCTATCTCAGCCCGTTGCTATGCAGCCCGTTGCTATGCAGCCCGTTGCTATGCGCGCTATATACGTCATCGCACCAGAAGAGCAAGGAAACGAGCATGCGCAGAAAGACCGGAATGAACTTAAAGAGGAAGTGTATACATGCACACAAAATTCTTTCATTCGCAATGACAAACGGAATAAACCACCCCCTTTAATCGGATTTAATTTTCAATCGAAATGACCATTTTTCAATCGGAATGACCGTTTACATGACCACTTTTAATCGGAATGGCCTTTCATTCCGATTAAATTCCATGTAAACGTACTGACTGCCAGTTCATCTTAGCTCCTTGTGTGTCTGGTGTTCCAGCCTTTTGTTTCCCTGTGTCCTTTTCTTTTTTTTT